ATGTCACTGAGAAAAAAATACTGCAAAAGTCCCCATCTACATACCACACAAAATCCAAGCACTTTAAAATAAAGTCTCTCCGAAGATCTGAACTCTGCCTACCTATTCAGCCTTATTTCTAGCTATTACATGACTAATATTCTGTGCTAGTTTATGTGATCATTCACCTTTGTATTTTTGTTCAGGTTTTTTTTTCTCCCTTGAGTGTTCATCTGCTACATAATCTCCATCTTCTGGAAAATTCCTCCTTATTCTTAAAATGCATATGAAACCTCACATCCTCCAGGCAGCCTTCTTGGGTCTCTGCTTTCCACACAATCCCTTGGACGTTCATAGTAGTCTTTGCATATATTAGTTGCACTCTCTTCAATGTATTTTAATTGCTTATATGTCTTTATCCCTCATGAGATGGTCAGGGATAATTTTTTAATCATTCCATATTTACCACTTAGTTCTATGCTTGACACATCATAGATGCTCAGCAAATATTTCTCTGAGAAATTTAATAGAGTTATAGTTGAAACTGATACAAAATGAAAATCCAAGAGAAAAATTTACTTCTGATGTTCATGAGTACTGTTATTTAAGAAGCCAGGGTAAATTCACAGGAAAAGTTAAGAGGTTGGTTGTTTTATATTTCCTCTCTCAACAAATACCTCAAATGATAGTCCATTTTTCTTTGTTCATTCATTCTTTTAATTTACCACCAGAAAATCTCCATCTGAAATGGAGTGATTGTTTACTCATTCTTATTTAACTGTGTAAATAGCTTATAAATTGAACCATGTGAACTCACAGTTTTGTAGGTCATCAGTAGTCAGCTATTGGTAATTTCTGTGGTTCAACCTAAAAATAAGGATCAAGAGCGAGGTCTGTCTCCTTCACATCTTTACTGTGTTCTTACACAGCTCACACAGTCAGAGTTTCTTAGTGTTACTAAAAGTACCGCGTTTACAGATGGCAAAGCAACTGCATACATTTTGTTAAAGATGGATTGCCTCAGTGCGGGGTGCTGCCTCAGGAAGTAAGGGGACTCCCTCCCAGGTACGATTTCACAAAGGCTGGAAAGTCTTCTGCCAGAAAAGCCCTGGAAGGGACTTCTGCATTCTGCAGGAAAGTGGACTTGATACTACTTCCATGTTCACTCCCAACTTTCAACTGCATGACTCTACCAGGATTGAAATAATGTAACATCATTAAAATGTTAATCTGTACCTTTTTGGCCTATACCACAATTGAATTTTCAGGGAGTTGATTACATTTCTTTCTGTGGATTCAGGAAACCATTTGTCCCACATTATCTAATTTAGTAGACATATTTTGGCCCTTACAACTTTTCCATTAGTCATCTGTAAACACACTTAGTACAAATGAATAAGATGTTTGATGTTAATAAACATCACTTCCTAGCAGAAAAGCAATTCTAGGATTACAGGTGTATTAGGGACCGTATGTCAGTACTTCAGTCCCTAGGAATTCTCAACCTATGGTCCTCTGCTTAGAAGAATTAGACCTAGACCTCTGTACAGAAGCATTTTACCTGCTGTTCATATAAACTTTGGTATTAAGGTGAATGTTGGACTTAATATTTTTCTTACTGATGAGTTCTTAATGCCTTCTAACTTTTAAACTTAAAAGAATCTTTGGAACTAAATGAGCTGCAATATCCTTTAAAAATAAGAAACACATTTAGATTCTGGTACAGAGCAAATTCCCTGTAAAGAAGAGTTCCAAATTTGTGATTCTATTTGCATTTCCATAAACACACAGAATCTTTGTCTGAGCTTATTATGTGACGAATAACAGTGTTAGAAGTGGGGTGTTTTAAGCCTAATTATGCACGTACTCCCATTCTTATTAGTGCCTTTGCAAACATGAAGCAATACAAAACTTTTGGCTTAAGAGCTAATTTCTTAAAGCTGACATTATAATGCATTTTAACCAAAACTGGCCTCATGTAATGCAATTAAAATATTAAAAAATTGAAAGTTGCTAAGGTGCCACTGCTCCCTAGGAAGCAGATTTTGAGGTGGAGATGAGCATGCGAAATGTCTGTTCGGCAGGGCCCCAAGGACCATGCCTCTGGGCAGGTGTGAAGGAGCCAGGATGGGGAAAGGGAAAAGCTGGCTGCAGTGCAGGCGCGACAGAGGCCTCATCAGTGCCCAGCAAGCTGTGTGGCTAACAAGGTCCTTGACAGCTGCCCCGAGTCAGATACAGGGAGCAGCCTTAGACCCCACAGTGGTCAGCGTGATTGGAATGTGGGCTTCAGGTTCTCACACTCACCTAAGAGTTCCAGGCATGTCAAGGAAGGAGTATCGAGTTCCAGAACTGAAAAGGCCATGTAGTCAAGGACCACAGATGAATTCGGGGTAACTGGTGTTGATGGCTGTCCCTCACCCTGAAGAAGAATCCAGCAGCCCACACATGCATCTGGGGCTCACTCTGGCCATGTTTCCATCTCTCTAGCTTGGTCACTATAAATTAAAATTACTTAATAAAACTAAACCTTCAGTATCTCAGTTGCACTAACCACATTTCAAATGCTCAGAAGCCTGGTATTGGACAGCACAGAACATTTCTGTCATTGCAGAAGATTCTGCTGGACAATGATGCTGATGTACACAAAGCCACACCTCCCAGGGCCCTGCTGCCTCCCCGAGACACCTCAGGAGGAAGGTGCCAGTTCTCACTGCCCTGACATCTATGACCTCTCCCTGCTCCACTCAACTGAGATGCATCTATGTTTTCTTTCATATTTGACATTGATATGGCTTAATAAACCAGAGCCGGAAGTGATAGCAACTGAGAAGTCTTTCTATCTCCTTAAGGATAGGTCAGGAAGAGGGGGAAATATTTGTATGCACTGTACTACTCAGTAAGAGAAAAGGAAGAAAACCAATTATGTTTTCATGCATTCATACCCATTAACATACACGTTAACATCCAAAAATATAACATCAATCATTGGCCAGAAAGCAATTAATGGAAAACAATGAAAGTATGACATTAAACATATTTTAAAACATAGCAAGTAAAACATTGTAGAATTAACCTCTTCCAGAACAAACTAATGATAAACACCTGCTTTGTTGGGTGAACCTTTCCGTGGGTCACCTTCTGTAATACTCAGTACACGTTGCATCGGCAGGTGTAGTTGTGATCCTCCCATAGTATTCTTCTACAGGTTTTTGTTATGCAGACTGTACTCTTTTAAAATGTTTCTGAACAAACTCTTCCAGACTGGAAATTTAATGTTTTAGTACATGCAGTGTTCCTTGTTTCTTTTCCTTCCAGAGGCTCAGCAAAAAGTCTAGCTGTTGCAACAAACGATTTGTGATGCTTAAAGAAATTTTCCTCAGTCGTGTGTTCCATACATATATTGCAAGGGTAGAGTTTAAGCAGATGTCTCTTCTTTCTGCATTGCACTTCGGTCCTCCCATGAGGTCTGTGGGAAGGGCAATGCAAACTTAGGTTCACCTTCTTCTGTGTAAGGGAGCTGAACTAAACCACATATACATACACAGATAGAATTTTTATAAAGTATGATAGAAAAATATACAACCACACAATCTTCAAAAACAGGTTCTTGTTCTGGCACATAGAAGGATTGCCATGGAAGGGTGCATCCAGAAAAGCACTCACTTCCCTGAGTTTGATACTACAGACCCCCAGACTAGGATTCTTTCATCATTTGTTCATTCATCACTCATTTGTGAAGTACACATGTGGTAAACAATGAGCGAGGCTTGCTGAGGTTCTGACCAATGGAGCGGCCAACCAAGACTCTGTGGTCAAATGGAAAATGAACTACCCTCTATTAACTTGATTCAGTGCCCAGCACTCCAATGCAAACTCTAGTAAAGATTGGATCTGCGAATCTGGTTCAGGAATGAGGTTAACCCACGGCTCCTAACTCCCTTCCCAAATACACATGGTGAGTGTAGCATGCTCGCCTGAGCCAGTAGATGGGAGAGGGTGGTCCTGGACCCTCAAAGTCCAAGCCTAGGCATTTTTCTTAATCAGTTGTATGGATCTGATCACTTCTGTGCAACACATGAAGTTGTAGGCAGAACAGATAAAGGGTGACAGTGTCCCTCACCTTTCAGAGGACTGACTGCCTGCCCGGGAGATGAAGCATTTCTTCAACAAAGAGAAGGAGCTGCTCAGGGTGGAGAGAGAAATGTATACCCATTCTGGATCTTTCTCTTCCTTAAAAAGAAAGGGAAGAAGCTGTCATCTTGGTCAGTGGACCAAGGCAACAGGAGAGAAGTTTTAATCCCTGTCTCGCAAGAATATTGGGAGATGGGGTTGGATAAAATATACAAAACACCAAGCATATGTTGACATGTGCCCAGCATGTCCGGGTCTAGTAAACCGTCGCAGGTTCTCTCCCTCCCACACCCTTCCATCTTTGAGCTTCCTAAGGGAAGGTACTGGGTCTGAATAATCTTGGTTGTATGTTTATAGAACTAAATAAATTTTATTTATCAAGACCTCAACATGCTTAACACTAAGCTTAGTTTAAAAGAAGCAGTGGAATTTTTCAGACCCAGAAGAGGCATTTGAGAGCATCTCTAATTTCCTCATCTTACAGAGGAAGGCACCAGGGCCAATGAGCTGGGAGGACAGGGACTTGAGCCTCCAGTTCTGGCACATTCTCTGGGAGCTGCTCAAAGGCAGTGTTTCGGTCACATCTGTATGTGTCTGGCATGTTGTTTGCTCTCAGACAATATTTGTTAAATGAATTATTTCGCCATATCTCCTGCCTTGCCTTTGGCAAATGAAGTATAGCATGTGGCTTTGCAAGGCTACTATAAACAGATATAACTGATGATATAATTTCTTATACCACAGAGGTGCTTAAAGTTAGACACTTTCATGGAATATGTAGTGAAAATTTAAATGTTAAGCATCTTAAAAAAATACATATATAGTGTATATTTTTGAGAATTTATCAGAGAGTAATGTACGGCTTAATGTGTGTCGTATTTTTATTTTAGGTAGACCAAGTAATCACAGGTTGTGGACGATCATCAAAGCCTGTGAAAAGTACCTTGGACAGCAGCCAAGGGCAAACGAGCAAAAGGTACCACCTCCCCAGTCTGTCTCTAGCTTTATTACATAGTTCCTCTTGTCATTTCAAGGCTAGAATACCCTTTCCAAAGGATATAATTATTTAGTTTAAAAATGATTCATCCCATGAATGTTAGTGTTTATTCCCAAAACTTAGACTTTTACTTTGTAGGGTCTTTGATCCCTCAGAAACAAATCTGTGTGCATGCAGGTCCCAATTTCTTGTGATGATAATAAGCGTAGTAATACCATCACCAATGACTGCTAGCATTCCCTGAGCACTTGCTCTGCATCCGGCGCTTTTATATATGCTTTACCCCTATTAACACATTTAATCACCACCATTTTTAGCCTCAGGTGACAGATAGGAAAGTGAGGTGGGGAGCAGTTTAGAATGTCCAAAGATCATGTTGCCGTGACACATTGGGACAATTCCGCTGAGCCCGGCTTATAATGCTGCTCACATTGCTTCCCTTATATGACCCATGTGTCACCTCAAAGATTCCAAACACTCTTAGGACTACAAGGGCCTAAAGGCCCTGTCATGTGCCCTCCTGTCAGCCTCCTAGTCGCAGCTTGTCTTCTAGCCTTGCTTAGGCCCCTTTCCCCTCGGGCCCTCACGTTCTCAGAAGAATGCTCACCCCATTCCCCAGTAGTAGAGAGCCTCTCTTTGATCCCTAACTGAACATTCTAGCTCTGTCCATGGAGACCTCAGAACAAAGTGCACTTTCTGAAAACAGGGATATCCCTTTAAGTGTTTTGGACAAAGCTCTCATTATTTCCCACTTCTTTCTCAGATTGAACACCCTAATTCTTTCAACTTTCCTTCTACTTGTCATGATTTCCAGACTCTTTCCATCCAGATGGCAAAATCTATTTTGAACCAAGGCAATCTATCTTTGTGATACAAATGTATATGCTAGAATTATCATTATAAAAATACCTGAACAAGAGCTATATTTATGGCTTGCATAATACAAGTAGTCAGGCATTCATATATTCAAAGACAACTGTTGAAATTTTGTGGAGATTTTCAAACATGGGCCTTGTTGGAACAACAGGTATGGAATTGAATTCCTTCTGAAAAGTGGGTTGTGTTTTTAACCTTGGAAAGCCATTGTCCTATTTCCCAGCTTAGTGATTTACATTTCAGATACATGTGTAATTTAGAGATTCAAGGGTATTGACTATTATGAATATTCACAGTCATAATTAACCCCCAGCAGGCCCAACACATGTAGAGTCTGAATCTAATTTGTGAGGAACCACAGGTATGGGAGGCCAAGTCACAGCAGACAATTTGCAGCTGATTTTCAGACCCCAGGAAAGCCACTATTATACGTGGTTATACTTGGGGATTAGAGATGTCTTGGCACAATTCTCCATAGTAGTACCCTCCTACAATATTTTTGCAAAGCCTTTCTTTTTCATTTTTATTACTGAAAAATAATCACTTCACAACCACACATAATGTATCTATGTGAAGGTTGTTTATGGTGCTCCTTAATCATTGACAAAGTGCATTATCCACATTATCTCAGCTTCTGGCTGGCCAACCCTGTTAACCAAACAGCTGCCTGTTAAGGTCAAGCAGGCGGTTAGTTTGAGAGAAAGAAGGATGGTGGTTACGCACCTGGGAGATGAGCTGCATACGCCCCTCAGCCCTCTTGTCGCCAGTGTGGTCCTTCTCTCATGCTGTGATGACAGAATGAATGGAAGGAGGAGGGCGAATGGAGTAGGGTTTTGTGCACTGGGATGGGATGGGATCATGTTTTGGGGGGAAGATAGCTGATTCAGTGAACTCTTGTGACCCTGTAGAATGAAGGAAATCACACAACTTTCTCAAAAATGAGTTTATTGGAAATTGAGTGCCTACTCTGTGCTACATGACACTATGAGCTACTTATCTTTAATCTTCAAAATAACTACATGTTATTCCTAATATACTGAGGTTCAATGATTTTAATTTGCCAAATATCACAGAGCTTCTAAATAAGTGGCAGAACCAGGATTATAAAGCTTGGTCCACTCTTGGACTTGCCTTCTTACTCTTTTCATGGTGTCTTTTTTTTTTTTAGACTTTCTTCTTTATGTTCACAGTAAAATTGAGTGAAAAACACATACACACTCTCATACACCTACTGTGCTGACTCAGGCCCAGACCCCCTGTTATCCATATCCCCCATCAGAGTGGCACATTTGTCGCAATTGATAAACCTCCATTGACACCATCATTATTACCCAAAGTCCGTAGTTCGCATTAGAGTTCAAACTTGGTGCTGTTTCGGTCTGTGGATTTGGACAAAGGTATAATGATGCACATCAACCATTTTAGTCTCATACAGAGTAGTTTCACTGCCCTAAAAATCCTGTGCTTCACCACGGGACTGCTGCCTCCATAGCTCTGCTTTTTCCAAAACATCATATAGCTGGAATCAGACAGTATGTAGCCTTTTCATTTTGGTTTCTTTCATTCAGTAATATGCATTAAGGGTTCCTCCATGTCTTTTCATGACCTGCTAGTGCATTTCTTTTCAGTGCTGAATAATATTCTGTGGTCTGGATGTACCATCATTTATTTATTTATTCACCTACTGGAGGACATCCTTGTTGCTTCCAGTTCTTGGTGATTATGAATCAAGCTGCTATAAACATCTGTGTGCAGGTTTTTGTGTAGAAATAACTTTTCAGTTCCTTTGGGTAAATACCAAGGAGCCTGATTGTTGGATTATGCATGTATGTTTGTTTATGTAAGAAGCTGTCAAACCTTCTTCCAAAGTGCTGTACCATTTTGCATTTCTACCAGTAGTGTATGAGAGTTCCTGTTGCTCCACATCCTCACCAGCATTTGTTGGTGTCAGTGTTCTGGATTTTGACCTTTCTAATAAGTGTGTGGTGGTATAGCGTTGTTTTTATTTGCATTTCCCTGATGAGCATATGGTGTGGAACCTCTTTTCATCCACCTATTTGCCACCTGCACATCTTCCCTGGTGAGTTGTTTGTGAAGAGCTTTGGCTCATCTTTCAATCACACTGTTTGGTCTCTTACTGTTGAGTTTTAAGAGTTCTTTGTATGTTTTGGGAAACAGTCTTTTATCAAATGTTTTTTGCAAACAGTTTCTCCCATTCTGTGGCTCATCTTGTTTTTCCAAAATTGTCTTTCACAGAGCTGAGGTTTTTGATTTTAATGAAGTCCAGCTTGTCAGTCATTTCTTTCATGGATGGTGCCCCTGATGTTGTACCTAAAATGTCATCACCGTACCCAAGGTCATAGGTTTTCTCCTGTGTTCTTTTAAGAGTTTGGTAGCTTTGCATTTTGCATTTGAGTCAATGATCCATTTTGACTTAATTTTTTTGAAAGTTGTAAGGTCTGTATCTAGATTTATTTTAAATATACCCATGTTTTACTAATTTTTATGTGTGATTTTTCAATGCTATCATAAAGATATTATTTTATTTTTTATTGCCAGTATGTAACTTTGCAATTAATTTTGTTATTGTGGTAAAATAAACAGAACATAAAATTCACCATTTTAACCAATTAAAAGTATATAGTTCAGTGGTATTTAGTATATTCACAACATTGTACAACCATCACCACTATAAAATTCATGTCTGTGTTTGATTTTTGTACCCAGCAACATTGCTAATATCTCTTATTTTATTAATTTGTCTGTTGGTTCTTTTGGGTTTTCTGTATAGCTGCAAAGAATGATGGCTTTCTTTCTTACTCATGTTCTGTATTTTCTTCCTTTTTCATGCCTTACTGCATAGGGAAAGACTCCAGTACAATGTGGAATAGAGGGTGACTGCAGGCATCTTTGTTTTATTGCCATGTCCAGGGAGAAAGTCGTCAACATTTCCCAAAGCCTGGGAGGCTCTCAGCCAGCGGCACTGGCATGACTTTGACGAGACCCTGAGGACATTTCCAATTTGGAAAGACTTCACTCTAAATATGGGACTGAGATTTTAAATCATGACTGCTATAAGCCCTGGAAGCGCCAGCTCATGGCGACAGCTCAGCCCTCCTCTAGCCTCTGAGGCAACTGTCCCAACAGCCCCTTGAGGGAGGTGGACAGAGTGTATTTACTTCTCATTCACTCTCACATGACAGAAAAACCCTTTGGAACCCCTGGGGAGAAGGCAACCAGTTAGACTCCCCCCTGGCATGCTCAGGCCGTTACCTCTGTCCCAGGACTCCATGAGGCCAGCAAGACCACAGCACAACTTTAGAGGCTCAGCAAATGCCCTGAGGGTGAAGGTGACTTCAGGGACCCACCTTCTTTCCTGGGATCCCCCTTTCACTGAATTCTGACCTTGTAATTCCTTATTAGATCTTCCATGACCTCAACAGAGTGTTGGTGGGGAGGTGGGAGTCTTTGGTCCCAGTTGAGAGCCCACTGTATTACTGGAAGAAGAGTCTTTCCTTATGGACCTTAGTAGAAGGAGTCAGTCTTTGATGTGTTTTATGCCTAGTGACTTTAGACACTTTCTTTCTTTTTTTTCCCCTTTTCCCCATGGTAATCAGTCTATTCATTTTGTTTTTTCAGTTATTCTTACTAGACTCCAGAGGTCTGGTTCTGACGGTCAGGTGGTGGGTAAAGCTGGCGATGGGCATCTGTGATTCCAGGCCTCCGACACTGAATCAGAAAACAGTGGGAGAAAAGCCCCTGTCCTCCTTAGGTGGGGGTTAGCGTGATCATCAGGTGCCCCTGGGCCTAGCTCACTGTTTATTACTCCAGGGACTCAGGAGTAGTTGGAATCCTACCTGCAGGTTATTCTCACAACACCCGAAGTGGGGGAGTTGCAGATAACTGTGGGTGGGCTCAGTTCACTGCTTATTTCTGAGATCCGGAAGACACGCCTGGAAGTGAGAGGGTCTGCTTTTCCTCAGTCAAGGGCAATGTAGTTATAGTAAATGAATTTAGGTATTTACTTAATTAAGCCACAGATATCATGGCCTTTTAGACAAAAATATAGTAATTAAAAAGTACAGCTATATTTAATAATGTAGGTCTTTGAAAACTTCCTACATAGTTTATAATGTACAATCAGGGTCTTCAAAAATATACTACTTTAATACTGTTTGCATACTTTGTATTTTTCTTCAGCATTCCATGTGTATTAGTGACAATACTAAGAATCAAAAATTCAGATGCCTTTAAGGGTTGATCACTTTATAGAAATGAAGGGAGGGTTGCAAGAACATAGAGGTTTTTATACTTTCGATGGAAAATCAGACCTCCCTCCCCACAATATATTGTGTCCACTGCATGAATTTGGTCTGAAGGTATCAGTTTGGAGCTCCCAGATAAGAGTGACTCAATTTCTTTAGGTCAGAGACCATTTCTTATTTAATTTCATTATCCTACCATAGTATAATAATTTTTTTCATATACTCAGCAATTATTTATTCAGAAAGCTGCATGCCAAAAATACAAGATGAAAAAAAAAAACAGTATCTTTGCTTCAAAGATGCCAGTCAAGCAGGGAGAACAGGCCAGCAATAAGACAATTACTTGAAAATGTGATAAACTTTACATCAGAGCACTGCACTGCACTGTCAGACATTTCCAGGAAACTTGCCTGTTTGCACAGACCATGGGGTTACTGGTGTCTAGGATACAGTAGGCACAGAGTATTTCTCTGTTGAATAGCTGGATGAATGATGTGATGATTCCGAAGTAGTTTGACAGATCCTCAAAATCTCTGGGGGAAACTTTATAAATGCAGATTACTGGGCCCAACTCCAGACCTATGAGGGAAACTGCCAGAAAAGGTAGCCTAGTTGCCAGCATTATCTAGAGTGTTCTGCATGGCTGGCATATGAGGATCACCGGCCAGTGGAGGCTCTTCTTGCCCATTTCACTCCAGCTGTTGCTGAGGGAAGCGGGCATGGGGCTGCAGCATGTTCTCACAGGAGGGGCTGCCAGTGGGCTAAGCTTTGCTGTGCACCTGAACTTGTAGCAGCCATGGCCTCCGCAAACCACAGCAGGTTGGATTGTCTGAAGCAGCAGGGTCCAGGAGCCTGATGAGCTACATTTGGAAGTAAGACCTGCCTACGGCAATGGTCTTATTGGTCCTGGCTATGGGGCTTTGCCTATGGTATCATTTCAATTATCAGGAAATTCTGCGGTAAGCAGTCTCCCAGCTGACCTCTCCTCCAGCTGCCTGCATTAGCACACCCTGTGGCCCTTCTCAGCACTTGCTTTCCCCGTGGGTCAGACTCTTGCTTCCCCAAGGCTCTAAGATACTCAAAACTGGGAACAGTCTCTGAGTTTTGTCTCTGTGCTCCAGGGATGGCACTTGCCAATGTTTGCTGGACAAATGATTGAATGAGTTGAATCAATTTTACATTTAATTTAAAATGACATGTCAATTTCCTTTTGCCTTTTCTGTTGTTGTAGAAGCAAGCAAATTGAGAAGCTAGAAGTGGATCCTAGCAAGCACTCCTTCCCCGACGTGGCTAACATAGTTCAAGAGAAGAAACACATGCCCAGAAGAATTCGGTCTGAACCCAAAATGATACCAAGTGAGGAAGATCCCGACTTTGAAGATAATCCTGAAGTGCCCCCATTGATTTGAACCATCAGGCTGCATTGGCTGTGACCTTCCAGACCCCGTTTTGCTCAGTGTGGACAGCGTGCATATCATTTATGGGGTAAACACAAAGTTATCTTTCAATATCACTACTCCAGTGTTTTAACTCCTACCTCGTATATCTATACTCTTAAACTAGTTTAAAATTAAAATGTGTAAAAATGCTATAACTCATTTGTTTATAACAAAAGATTGGCTAGTGAGAATGTTCAGTAAACCTAGGACTATTACATAAAAATGTTGATGATAAATCACAGAAGTGCCTGCTTATGCAGATAGATGAAGTCATAGAGGACTGATGATTAAATCGCCACCTCAGCAAACTGGTCAAGGTCGGAAGTTAAAGCCGTCATTTCAGATCAAATTGGAATGCTTTAGTATGATTTTAAGCAATGTTTCACTTTTCTCCTCATGCTGTGTCTGCTTTCTCTGGTGACATGGGATAGAGGGAAGAAGATGAGTTTTGAAATGAGACACCAGAGCTTGGATTCCAGCTCAGTCACTTTGTAAAGAACTTCAGCAAGTCCTTTAACTTCTCTGAGCATTGGGGGCTTTATCTATGACTGGGGAATGATAATACTTACCTTATACGTAGGTTTGCCTCAAGAGAAACAGCCTAAAGTGCCCAGCACAGAATAAAGTGCCCGGCGCGGTCTCCGCCGTCCTCCCGTCCCTTGTCCCGACCTGCCCCATCGCTCCCGTTTCTCAGTTACCTGTCTGCCTTCTCCTCTTTCTTCTCCCCGCCTTCTTCCTGCCCATCCTACTCCTCCTCTACTTCCTCCTTCACCTTCTTAATATTAGTACCTCTTCTTTATCTAGGTAATTATGTAATGAATTACATATTGTTACATTAGAATTAACATTCCACAGACACTGTAGGGAAAGTAATTGTTACCCTGATCACAGCGTGCTGACTTTGAATCAGGGCCCCAAACACGCACTCTGCAAGGCCTCGGTGAGCACCTGTGCAGGTCTAGGGGCTGTTCTGTTAATCAGGGAGTCGGAGGTAACAGAGCAACTGAATATACCAACACGTACTACGTCAGGGAGTGACGAGAGCCCGTCAGAGGCGGTGCTTCCTGAAATACTGTGACAGTGACTGTGGCGTTCACTGTGTAAGGCCACAGATGGTAGTTCTGGCAGAAACACAGTAAGGAAGGAAGGCAAAGTCATATTCGAAATAAGTATATTTCAGGGAGAACAAGGTGCGGCTCCTTCCGTAATGGAAGTTCCAGCGTAACCAATCTGCCAGCAGGTAGATGGATGGCCCCTGAGGGGTAGTGCCATGTAAAGGCTTCAGTGTTGGTTTCTGCTATTGTCCATTGGTCACAGGGATGCCTGCAAGTGACTTGGCACTCCTCCCATCAAGAGGTGGAGTGTCTGACCTCTTGTCTCAAATATGGGCTAACTTTAGTGACTTGCTTCCGGCCAACAGAATAATGATAAAATGATGCTACATGGCAGACAAGGCTAATCAAGAAAGGCCATGCCACTTGCACTTGATTCTCCTGGGATACTCTCTCTGGGGCATCCCCCTGCCATGTAAGAGGTCCAGCTACCCTGGGACTGCTGTGCCGGAGATGCCATAGTGGGCATTCCTGTTCACAGCCCCGGAAGCACTCAGAGCTGACAGCATGAACTGTCAGACATGTGAGCGTGCCATCTTTTATGTCCAGTGATGACCAAAATCAGCTGCGATTGCATGAGACATGCCGAGTGAAAACTGCCCACCAAAATCTGAGCCACAATGTTGTGAGCAAACTAAAATAGTTTTTTTAATCCACTGAACTTCAGAATGACTTGTTCTGCAGCAACAGCAACTGGAACAGAATTTGGTACCTGGAAGTGGAGTGCTACCATTAACTAAACCCTAAGACATGTGATATTGCTGGGACCAGGGAGCTGGCTGACGCTAGAAGGACCTTGAGGTGGAGGAGAGGTTGATTCCTCCAGAAGCAGACACTGAGAGAGAAGTGGGAGAGATTTATTGGGGATAATGCCTTGAAATGATAAAGAGGGAGCAGGAATAGGCAGGGGAAGCCTTTAGATTTTCGATTTTGGACATAAGCTACATGAGGGTGGTGGAAGTAGAAGGAATATTGGCTAAAAGTTACCACAGACAGCACTGAAGCTCTGAGAAGGTCTCAGCCCAGTGGGGAGTGCCAGCCCAGGACTGTCTGTGGAAGATGCGTGTGGTGGGCAGGATGGCCGGGCCCTGGGAACCCTGCCATACTCAGCTGCTGGCAGAGCTGCCTGCCAAGACATCAGTGGCTGCAGCAGGCATGCTGCTGTGGCAGATCCGGGGCCCTCCAGCCGGGGCTCTGGGCCCTCTGCGCTCCTTGCGGCATATACTCTCTCCAAGAGACAACTGAGCTGCACACCATGGCTGCCCCTAGATGATTACAGACCGCAGACGGGCCACTAGCCTTGAGGCTGCATGGGAAGCAGGAAAACACTCTTCAGTGCTGCAGGAGAGGAGACCCTCCTGCTGTAGAGGAAGTTTAGCAAAACTCTTGCCTATGGAAAGTTTTTAATGCACCTGGTGACTTAAAGGATTTAGTGACAGAGATTTCCTAGTTGAATGCCAAAAGTATCAACCTGTGCCTTTTTGCTGCAAATCAAAAGGCACAAATAGTCTATTTTCAAGCAGAATTTAGAGGACATATAAAGGAACTATCCTGGCTTGGTTCAAAAATATGCCTTTCTCTTCCCAGTCTCTCCCAACTAAAATAAAAACCGGCCTCACCCTGTGGACCACAATGTTGGTCTGTGTCCCCAGGAATTACTAAACAATTCAGAACCAGTGAAGAGTAAAGCCTGAGAAGTCTGAGTGTTTCTTCTCTCTCAAGGCACAGTCATTCTGAGTAAGTGTGGGCCCCTTGACAAAAAGCTAGGAGAAGGTTTACAGAATAGAATTTTGGCAGCATAGAGGGGTCCTTCCCCAAGGGATACAACTGTGAAGCAGTGTCCCCAAAACAGAACAGCAAGTGCAAAGGCCCTGAGGTAGATAATGTTAGACAGCTTTCAGGAACAGCCAATAAACCAGTGTGACCAGAGCAGGCTGAGCAAGGCAGTATTAGGAGAGGGATGGGGGAGCTGATGGAGAGAGCTGGTCCTGACAGTGCTTAATCTAGAAAGATAATCATAAAGCTGGGGAATTGTATTGCCCCCCAAAGAATATCTTTGAGTTTTGTAGTGTTTTCTTCACTTTGTTTTTTGGGTTTTGGGGCGTTTTACCAAATGTCTTCCTATACCCATCTCATTTTTTATCTTAACTAAGAAATCCTGTAAACTAAGCATTTGTTCATTCTTCATTCAGTTATTGTTTGAGTGCACCTACTGTGGGCCAGGTGCAGGGAGTATATCATGAGCAAAAGAAACACTGTCTCAAGTTTCACCCAGCTTATGTTTTTGTGGTGCAGGTAATTGTTAATCAATTATACTAATAAACTGAGCTAACTTCTCCGAACTCATTCTCATGTTTTACAGTTCTAACAATGGAGATTCGCCAAAGTTAAATGGCTTGGCCTAAGATCGCATTATGAGTTGTTAGGACAGGATTCTCTTAAGTCATTTTTGAATGAGTTTCCAATATGAAAGATTTTACCTATCTAAGTGAATAAGGTGATTCATGTGACATTGTTTTCAAGGGAAATAGCTACAAACCTGCTTCTTGAATCTTAAAACCACTCACTCTCTTTGGGAATGTGAACAGAGGCTTGAGAGTAGAGGGGGCTTTGTGGAAGAAGATGTCTTTGGGAACTAGCTGTAGGCAGGGGTGGTGTTATGTCTCCACTTTGTTTGGCTGAGTGTGGCTTCCAAGGGACTTCGGGGTGAAGATGGACGAACAGTTATCTTTGGAGGGAGCTATTTCCTTTCTGTGTGTCCCGCCTCATTTAGGGCTTCGACTTTGGAAACCAAGCTTAGTGAGGGGTTCTTGAAGGACTGTCTTTGCACACTGCTTCCTGAAGTTGGGGGCACACAGGCTGGCACCTGAGAAGCCTGGAACAGACAGGATACTGGAGTCTGACTGCCGGGTGACTCATGCAGAGAGCTGGATGAGGGCTGGGCCAGAGGAGCGGAGAACGTGGCCCTCTCCCTAAGTCACGGGGGGCGGGGGCTCTGAGCGTTTCCTCAGGGTGGCCAGTGGGAAATGACAGGCTGGGTCTCCGCTGGGGCTGCCTGGTGGCTGAGGCGCCTGGGGAGGAGGTTGGAGGTGAGCTGCCATGTGCTGGGGCTGAAGAAGGAGTCTCAGAGGACTAACCCAGACAGGGGATGTAGGGAAGGACAAATGGGGAATCTGAGAATCCATGAAAGAGCCTCAAGAGCCAGAAAAGGCAGCTCAACTCTCCTCTAGGCAGACAGAGCAGGAAGCCTGGCAGCTCTGCAGAAGAACCACCTTATCTGTACCAGTTTTCACCCTGGCAGTTCCCAGCCTTGGGCTTGAGTGGGTAAGGGGAGGGAGTGGCTGCTCGGACCCAGCGAGGTGTCTGAGGGCCGTAGGAACCGGCGGGAGCTGGGGCCGTCTCCCATGGGTGCAGCCCACAGGAGGGGGCAGGGGAAACATCCTCACCTTCCTCTCCTCTGTCCCTCCAGACTCGGGGTACGACTTCTCTCTGACAAAACCCAGCGGGGAACCGGGGCCAAGGGGGCCTGCCGCGGGTCCTTAGGAGGGCACAGCCCAGAGGAGGGGGCAAGGTGAGGAGCTGGCACAGCACTCTGCTGCCTTCTCTCCCGCTCCCAAGCCTGCCCCACTGGAGGATGGGGCTAGAGCCCCTGGAGTCCCGTAGAGGAACAGGTGAGCAGGACGGAGAGGGGCCACACTGCCCCCTTCTTTAGCTGCCAGTGCCCAACCTAAGCAGCCCGAGACAAGGCAGGAGAGGGAGAGGAGTGGGGAACATGCAGTGCCAGGGTGGTGACCATCGTGGGGGACAATCTCATTACCAAATGGAGACTAAGTGTATGATTCAAATGCTGAAGATCCATCTATTCCCAAAGAACAAGTGGTAGTGCAGAGGGTCTGCCTACATCTCCGTCCAGGGGTAGGGAAGGGCCACGCTGTTGAAGGAAGGACAAAGGCTGAGTACAAGACAAAAACGTGGTGTGTTTTGATCACAGCTGCAAGGTGAACCATTCAACATCAGATTTATACTAATAATAACTCGGGATTCCAGTTATTGGCTGCTTGTTCCAGATTCCCCCTGTGTTAGCCTCCTCACTCACTGCCTCCGCTCATTTCATACTTTCAGAAGGCTCATGGCTTTGCCCCCCACCAGCTCCACCAGGGGTGGGGGTGCCTTTCACCCTCCTTCTAGTCTCCAGGAGAGAGAAGAACTTACCAGGTGGTGTCACCTTCTATTCCCGATGCTCACTCTCCAGTCCCTGCACTTTCTCTCCTGCTTTTCTTCCCAGATTTTTACTGAGCAGCATGAGCTGGCCCTTCTCTGTCACTGCCCATCATGACCCACTGTTCCCAGCACAGCTGTTTGCGTCTCTGCATCTTTCTCCCAGCTGCCGCGACGAGCTCTGCAGCAGGGCCCCCAGCGTGTGAGTGGCCTGTGAGGGGCAAGAGGAGCCCCTTGACAGCGACTATCGGGGGGGCATGCGCATTGCTCGGGCCCCAGGGTCTGAGTGGAAGTGTCCCCCTCCCTCACTCCCAGGAAGGCTGCCCTCCACTTGACAGCTGGGGCTGCAGCATACAGTGTGTGTCTGTCACCATTTGCAGTCTGTCACAGCTTGCCTGACACATTTGGATGGAAAGTGCTACCCCATTTCCAGTTGACACATGTCAAGCCAATGTGGCTGTCACTCCTGTAGCAGACCTCAGCTTAAACTAGCTGTGCTTTTGTACGTCTACTCCCTAATTTTTGCTCCTTTCATTTGGTCTGGTGTTCTCTTTGTGCTAGAAATAGGCTTTCATTAGCTCTGCAGCTGGGTCTCTTTACTCAGCAAACATTTACTAAGCACCTGCTAGGTTCCAGGGCCACATCAAGTGCCGTGGAAGGTTCTCTTCTGAGAACCTACTCTCCGGCTCTCATCTGCTTTCTGCTGAGTGCCTGCTCCCTCCAGCTCTCATGTGAGGCTGTTACCCAGGCGGCCCTCCAGCCATATCCTTTTCTGCATGTGCACACCACCCTGTCCCTGGACACTGGACCTGTTCCCATTGCTTCCACTGCCGGCTCGAGGCACATGCCCCTGAAATGTCCAGTTCAGGCCTCATTCTTAAAGTTCAAATGACTCTCCTGGTCTTCAGTTGAGTTCATTGCCTTCTCAAGTCTTTTCCTGCCACTTTACTTTGCTGCTCATTTCCTGGCCTTTGTTTTGTAGATTTACTTTCTATTCACCCAGATGAGAAAACTTCTCTGCTTCTTGTGTTCAAATTCTATTGGTAACTAACTGCTGTTACTTTTGGAAAGTAATAAATAGATAAGCTAGTAAGTAAATGTTCCTCTGAGTTCCGGGAGGCACTCTAGCACATTAATTGAGCTCAAGGAGGGGTTCTGTCTGTGGTGGAACAGGAGGAAGGAGAAGGATCAGAAAAGGACAGAAGTGTGAGGGCATGTTCCCCACATGCCAGGCCCTGCCTCCTGGCTGCCCGTTAGCCCCTCTGCTCAGACAGCCACACTTGACCATGGCTTGTTGCAAGGGAGGCTAGAGGTCTGTTATTTTTAACTGTGTGTTGTTTTGCGCTAAGGGAAAACAGGATTCTGTTAGAAAGGAAGAATGGAATAATGCACATTGTCTAGACAACCAGCAGCTTACTACAGTAGTCAATTTAATCCTACAGTTAGAGCAGTGATAATTTTAGGAAGTAAAAATCCATTTTAACTTTTGAAAGATATTTGTACTTGATTGGGAGGCACTGTGGTTCTTAAGCACAGTGTATCTCATTGAAGATCAATTAGGTTACAAGGTTTTATTTTTAGGTCACTTTCCAACACCTTGTTAGAGGGAACGTGTATTGCCCCCGCTCCTGATACTTCCCAACATGTGGATAAATATCTATTAATATCACACGCTTGCTTCTCCCTCATTGAATCTGAACTGAGGCAGTAAAAACAGGGGTGTTATTTATTGTACCCACCACATATTTTAACACCATACCTTCTCATGAGATTCCTCATCCTCCCTTTCATCAAGACTTACCGGTTAGATTTTAACCTATGTAAGCCTTGGTTGCTTCAACAGCCTCTGAATTATTCCACTTCATTCTCCTCCCATCTCCCCGGAGAGCAGGGCCATATGTTAACGTGTGTGGTTCCCAAGAGCCTGCACAGAGTCTGGCCTGTAATAAGCTGTTTGAATGACTCCCCAACACTGACCTTAGAATGTCTGTCTTTTACATCACTGCTTTACTCAAACACCTCCAGAGGCAAGATATTCTGGACCTGAAGTCTGGTTCCCTTGTGGGTTAGCTTTGCTGACCCGGACCTGGGTCGATACCTTGGTAAGCCCGCCCCCAGAGAGCACCGTTTCCCCCAGACCCGGCAGGTTCCCTCAGCCAATTCCTTGTGCAGGAAGGCAATGGAGTTTTATGTCCCCAAACTCTGGATTCGAATAATCCATTTCAAGAATGCTTTTCTAGACTGGAAAGTTCTTATACTTGATTATCAGTTATGCTACCACCAGACGCATCACAGATAAAATCTCCAAGCAGAATAACCCCACAATGTGGGGAGCATCAGCCCCATTTTACAGAGAAGGGGCATGGGCTTCATTGAGATCGAATGACTTCTTCACATTGTTTTAGTAAGAACAGTCTGGGTTGAAACTCAGATCTATTTTATTTCAAAACCATGCACTTCCTACTACATGTTTCTTTTATACTATACCATACTGATTTATAAGAAACATATACAAAATTCTATATATGGGTATCAATAAGATCATAGCCTTACCTCCATTGACATACAAAGAATCCCAAACTCTCTCCTCGTATCAAAACATTTGTAGTGACTCTTTATTTTTTTATTGCAATGTCTCTTTAAATCAACCCTTCACTCCTTTTTCTCTATTAATTAGCCAGGTTGCTAAGCTGGCACAGTGAAGTGGTGTTAAAGTGTCCCCAAATTAATAGTGCCTCATCAGCACTGAGGCAGGGTGTGAAATTACCTTCCGAAGTGTCACCTGAATGCAGTTAGCACCCCCTCAGCTACTGACTCCAGACAAGAATGGGGACTCAGCAGAAATGTCAGGTCTACATTAGCCATCAGCAGAATCCTGGGGTCAGAGAAGGTGAAGCCCTTGCCCCCCAGTGCCCTTCCAGTCCCTCTGCTCCCTTCCATTGCACTGTCCCTACCACACAGGGCCCAAGGCTTGCAGAACTAATTGTTCCTGATCAGCATCATCCTGTCCCTGGCTCAGCCCTTGAACAGAGCGCACTGTGTTCCCAGGCATCTGGATAGATCAACTGTGAGTTACGCTAATGGGACAGGTCAGGGACAACTCCCTGATGCCATGGAAACACTGCCCTTGCCTTCAGTGTTGGTCTCACCTGCCAGGACCCTCCATGCTTCATGAGAGAGGAGCTGGGGTGTGGCAAAATAAAGGGGAGTTCCCTGGGGCCCTCCAAGTGGAGCTTCGTCCACGTAGGTCTTCAGGCAGCCAACCTGTGGTTAGCCCTGCCTGGGTTGTGAATTTCCTCTCCAGCGTCAACTCCAGTGATTCCAAAAGCAGCCAATCTCGGTCTTTAAAAGTTTAACAAGAGTTAAAATTCCTATTTGAGAAGAAACTTATTCATTCATTCATTCATTCATTCATAAAATAGAACAAACTCAGGCCAGTTCTGCTGTCTTATGATGAAACATGAAACTGCCTCTAGGCTAGAGAGGGGCCCCATCATTGACAGGAAGACTGTGGTATGGGAAACACTGTGGTACAACAGAAACCCCGTTTTCTGGGAACCAGCCATGGGTTCCCATGAAGACAGGGCAAATCCTTGCCCAGCCGCTTATCAGCTGCATGAGCCAGGGGGAGCTGCAGTTCCCCCTTTGAGCCTCAGTTTCCTCATCTGTAAAGTACCGTTAATAATAATGCCAATTCCATAGAGTTGGTGTGAGAATTAAATGCATGTAAAGCTATGGACACTTGGCAAACCCCTCAACAACAGTGACTTACCAAGGTGACAGTGGTGAGGATGACATACGGTGACAGTGGTGAGGAAGGTGATGGCTGTTTTGATGATGGAGAAGAGTGATGCAAATAAAGTATTTAGTAAAGGAAACAGTGTGGTATTGGGACTGAATAGAGTCCAAAAGTGACAGCTCTCCTCACAGACACTTGATCTGTAACAAAGGAGAGACTGGAGAGCAATAGGGAGAGAATAGTTGCTTCAGTGAATGGTGCCAGATCAAGTGCATATCTGTATGGAGACAATGAAACTTGATTCCTACCTCACACAAAACTCAACACCTAAAAGGTTATTTTTAGATCTAACTGTGAATGGTAAAACAAAGAGCTTCTAGAACAGTGCCACCTTGCTTGGACCTTCCTGAGTACAGAAACCTATCTGTCTGCACAGACCATTCAGTGAGTCACACTTGAATAGTGAACCAGGAAACATGTCTTCAAAGCATAAATAAGGGCAGCTGCTTCCTCTGTCTCCCTGTATTCCACCTGTGGCTGGGCCTCTAATCTGGGTCCCTGCCTCCAGGTGGGTGAACGGTTTCAGGACCATTCATATCCCTAAGCGCCATCAACATCCCAGCTGCAGAGTTCAGCCTCAGGGCACGTTCTTTGCCAGATGACCCTGCTTGGAAGGATTTGCAGAGATGCATGGAATCAGTTCTTATTTCCCATGTGGTTAGTGACCTTTTTGTGTGGCTCCATTGGCCAGGCCCTGCCAGCACCGAAGGTGAGTGTAGGATTCAGGCCGTCCAAATACCTGTGACATTTCCGTCTGGCAGGAAAGGTGAGTAGTGGTCTCCTGAGGCCAGCTGTGTACTAGCCATGGGGCTAAGAAGTCTAACCTCATCTCTAACCTGTGCAGCAGTTCCATGAAGTCCTAATTTTATAGATAAACTGATTAGGCAGAGAGGTTAATCAGTTTTTCAGGATCACACAGCTAACAGGCAGAATAGCCAAGAGTTAACCCCAGCCCTGGACACCTCCTCCGCGTGCTGGCTGTGTCACGAGGCCAGAGAGGTCGGCCCACCTCCAGCTTCTGCCTACAGCTGGTGGCGGAAATCGGACATCTGGAAGGGGACTGGGCGGGACCCACCTGGCTGTGCTTCAGCCCAGTCCCATCCCCACAGAAGACCTTGAATGCGCTCCAGAGAAGGGAGAGGCAGCAGTGGTGCATGCCGGGAGGGCCTGAAGTGCTGCCGCTGTGTCCAGCAGCCCTGCTGAAGGCCGTTCTGGGAGCTTTGGATGATCAGTAGGCAAATCAGAGTCATTTTAATCAGTGTCTATTTTTAGAAATATTTTAAAAATACAATTTAAAGTGTGTTCTTTCATCAACAATGACTTAATTCATAATAAACCAGAAACACATCCTTTTCATGGCAGATTTGGTTAAGTGAGGCTAATCTAATGTTACAAAAATAATAATGCTAATAATAATAATAACATTTATCAAGCACCTACTGTGTGCCCTTCATTTTATGCTAGCAAACATCGGTTGAGCACTTGCTGTGTTCCAGCTGAGGGCACAGTAAAACAAATGGACAAAAATCTCTGTCCTCATGGAGTTTTTGATTGAAGGCAGACAGACAAAAAATAAAGGGGCAAACAAATAAATTAACAAGTCAACCATGCAGTCTAAGAGGTATGGAGAAAAATAAGCAAGGGAGAGGGATGGAGAGAACCCTCTGATTTTAAATGGTGAGGTCAGGGAGGAGAGCGTCTAAGCAAAGAACAATGAGTCATCAGACTCAGTATGGACTTCTTGGGGAAGAGGGTTCCAAGGAGATTAAACAAAAGGCAAAGGCCCTGTGGTGGGAAGGAGCTGAGTTCCTTGGAAGCGTGAGCAGGAGACCACATGACTGGAGAGGATGAGGGGTCACAGTCGGGGAGTTAATGGGGCCAGACTCTGTAGCACCCTGCAGAGCTTGGCCAGCACTTGCTTTTATTCCAAATGGATGGGAGCAGGTGGGGAGGAGAGCAGAGGGTGGGTGCAGTGTGTACTGCAGCTTCCAGTCCCACCCTGGCTGCTCCGCAGGGAAGAGCCCCGGGCTTGCCCACAGCAGGGGGGACGGTCCTGGGAGAGGCGGTGCTGGCTCAGCCCAGGGTGGAGGTGGAGGTTGGGAGAGGAAACTGGATTGCATGTATTTTGAGGAGACACACATCAGGCTTTGTAGGAGTGTGTGTGTGTGCTTTTTACACACAAGAGAGAAAGCGAGACGGAGACATGGAGTCGAGGGTGATGCTACAGTTTGAAACTGGCAGGCTGAGGCAGCTCAACAGAGAGCAGGAGAGTGGAGGGGAGCGGCCGTCTGGGGCAGTAGGAGGTGGGGGCCCAGCCTTGGCCGAGCTCAGCTGCAAGTGCCTATTAGAGATCCAAGCAGGGCAATCGTGAGGCAGGTGGAGTCCGGAACTGGCGGGGGAGCAGTGGGAGGGAGGTAGCATTTTCAGTGCCGCCGCTGTGCCTAGAGAGGTCAGTGTCATTCACCTCGTTGTACGATGAAAGGAACTTGAGTAAGAGGTGAGGCATGGCATCCAAGATCATCCGCTGATGATCCGCACCCCCCTGAGAAACCACCCGTTAGTGCTTAATGCCTTCCTGTGCTGTTGGAGGTTTTAGATGTAAAAAGAAAATTCTCGTGTGTATCTCTCATTAAAAAAAAAATCTTTGTAGCTCAGCTCAAGCTTTCCTCTGTCTAAGCTCAGATCCAGAGCCAGCTGGCCTCCCACTCACTTGAAAAAAAAATGTAAAATCCCCATGCCAGACTCTGTAGCACCCTGCAGAGCTTGGCCAGCACTTGCTTTTATTCCAAATGGATGGGAGCAGGTGGGGAGGAGAGCAGAGGGTGGGTGCAGTGTGTACTGCAGCTTCCAGTCCCACCCTGGCTGCTCCGCACGGAAGAGCCCCGGGCTTGCCCACAGCAGGGGGGACGGTCCTGGGAGAGGCGGTGCTGGCTCAGCCCAGGGTGGAGGTGGAGGTTGGGAGAGGAAACTGGATTGCATGTATTTTGAGGAGACACACATCAGGCTTTGTAGGAGTGTGTGTGTGTGCTTTTTACACACAAGAGAGAAAGCGAGACGGAGACATGGAGTCGAGGGTGATGCTACAGTTTGAAACTGGCAGGCTGAGGCAGCTCAACAGAGAGCAGGAGAGTGGAGGGGAGCGGCCGTCTGGGGCAGTAGGAGGTGGGGGCCCAGCCTTGGCCGAGCTCAGCTGCAAGTGCCTATTAGAGATCCAAGCAGGGCAATCGTGAGGCAGGTGGAGTCCGGAACTGGCGGGGGAGCAGTGGGAGGGAGGTAGCATTTTCAGTGCCGCCGCTGTGCCTAGAGAGGTCAGTGTCATTCACCTCGTTGTACGATGAAAGGAACTTGAGTAAGAGGTGAGGCATGGCATCCAAGATCATCCGCTGATGATCCGCACCCCCCTGAGAAACCACCCGTTAGTGCTTAATGCCTTCCTGTGCTGTTGGAGGTTTTAGATGTAAAAAGAAAATTCTCGTGTGTATCTCTCATTAAAAAAAAAATCTTTGTAGCTCAGCTCAAGCTTTCCTCTGTCTAAGCTCAGATCCAGAGCCAGCTGGCCTCCCACTCACTTGAAAAAAAAATGTAAAATCCCCATTTTCAGAGAGCCTTTCGTTGGCTTAAAAAGCAGCCATGCTTCACAGTCCACCCAAAAGAGAACTGTTTTTGGCAGGCTCCCCAAGAGCTGCTGTCACCCTCTGAGGACAGGGAAAGCCCCCCGTGCCTCTGATTCCCTTTCAGAACCCACCCAGCAGGGCTCCTCCCACCTGTGGCTGGCAGCAGGATAAACGGGCACAATTTTGGAACGGTCATTTTTCAAGATGTAGCAAGAATATTAAATATGTCTATGCTCTCTGGCTTCAAAATTCTAATTCTGATCATCTAATCTTAGGAAATAATGAGAATCACATAAGACGTTCATCACAGCCCTACTTACAATGCTGGAATTTTTTATGGCATCCAATATCCAATGGAGAAATGATTAAGTAAATTATAATATCAAAAATTATTTTTAGGAAGAATTTGAAAAGTCATGGAAAACGGTTCTGTTAGTTAGGCTTAAAGGGCAGGATCCAGTGTTGTATTTTGGTATCATCTTAATCTATATGGCAGTGATTTTTGTATAAGAGGTACAAACTTCAAATCATAAAGTAAATTAGTCATTGGAGTAGAAGTACAACATAGAGAATATAACCAATAATAATACTGTAATATCTTTGTATAGTAATAGGGTAACTTCACTTTCTGTAGCGAGCATGTAATGAGGTATATAACCATCGAGTCACCATGTTGTATACCTGAAACCAATGTAATATTGTATATCAATTATATTCCAGTAAAAAAAATAAATTGGATTTCACTAATAGAATTCAGTAAAAATGTTATATATGTGAAAGGATGCTTTTGAGAGTTGAATGGGGCCTCTCCTCTTTTCCTGGAATGGAAAAGCAAGGTCACAGCTGAAAACAGAAGGCCTGAGGTGCCCCCATTCTAGCTGGCCACCTCCTCGAGGCTTCCTGCGGTGCCCCCGCTATAGCACGGCTCCTGCCAGCTCCCCCTGTAGCCCCAGCTCCACCAGCACCCTCGCCCCGATATACACGGGATCTTGAGAAGACAGGAGACCCCTGCTCAAGCAATGCAGGAATGGTATGGAATAGTTGTATTCCTCCTTTCCTACTTGATCCCCGCCCACTGGCCAGGGAATGGAGGACATGTGGAAGGTTCTCATCCTCAAAGCCAAGGGAAATAGGGGCCAAGAGAATCGCTCATAAAAACTGGTGCAGGCCAACAAGGAGAAACCGACTTTCTGCATTCTTGTTGGGCTTCTCGGCAATATTCTAGAAATGTTCCACATTCTCTGAACTATCCCTCTGCAATATTCTAGAGAGTTCCCCTGGGCAGAAAACTGAAACAATCATGGAGCTCATTTCATATGTTTCCTGTTTCTCAGGGATCATAGTCATGCAATGTCTATTGGCCACTTGATCTAGTTTTTCACATACATGGTACGTGGCACTCAATATAAAATAGCCAGACACACAGGAGACAAACTGTTATGAATGGAAAACAAAATAGGCAATTGCAGCAGACCCACAGGTGATACAAGTAATGGAGTTATAACTTCAGACTATAAAATAAATAGGCATAATATATCCTAAGATAAAACACAGGATTGAGAATTTTGGCAACGAATCAGAAACTATCAAAAAGTTGAAATGTTGGGACTGAAAAAGCAGAGTAACTAAAATTAAACACACAATGGGCTTCTTTAGCAGATGATTCAACCAAGCTGAGAGGAGAATTTCTGAACTGAAAGATATCTAGAATGAAACAAGAAGACAGAAAAGATGGGGAAATACAGAAGAGAGGAAAATGGAGCCCTCCAAGTATTGAAGGTCAAGATGGGGTAGAAACAATATTTCATGAGATAATGGTTGGGAATTTAAAAAATCTGACAAAAGACTTCAAGCCAGAGATTTAAGAATCTCTACAAACCCCAAGCAGAATACATAAAAACTACACCTAAGCACATCATAGGAAAACTGTCAAAAACCAAAGGGGAAAAAAACCTTAACACAACTTGAGACAACAACAGGGTGGGGGGACTTTCTCCATGGGAGGAAGTCTAGGGAGTCAGGGGAAAATCTGACTTCCCCCAGGAGATGATATTTCAGTTGGACCTTGAAAGATGGCTATGATTTTGGGTAAATGGTCTTCAAGGTAGAGGACATGATTGACCAAGATGCAGAGAATTGTTAAATTTAGGATGTGGTTCTGTATGGACACGGTGCAGTTTATCCTGGGAATGACCTTGAAGGCCTCCCCAGGAGTTTGAACTTCTTCCTGAAGATCGCAGAGAGCCACTGACACTTGCAGGACACCGACTCAAGAAGCCACGTATTTTCCAAAGCAAGAGGCAGGCAATGGGGAAAAGAGACCCAGGTCTCCTTGCACTGTATTTATATACACGATGTGAACACATCCCTCATCCCTGACCTCAAAACAGCACAGAGTTAGATTGGGAATGATCATTTAGTACTTTGGGCTGTTAATAATAAAGATACCCTACTAAAGATAGGTATCACGGAGACGCCAGAGTGTTAACTTTCATCACGATCTCTTTGGTAGCCTTCATTCTTTCATCTCGTCTGTCACTGCTGGCTTTTTCCTGCCTCTCTGCCTCTCACACACAGCCCCCTGCTCCTACTGTTTGGCCTGGCTGGGACTCATCCTTCAAGTATCACTTGAAATATAACTATTTCCATGAACCTTTCAGGCAAATTGAGAGTCTTTCTCCCACATACCTACATCATTTTGAAAATACTTCCGTAATAACAACTGCCTGGTTTGATCACAGTAATCTCTGTGCTAGCACTGCATCAGCACCAGTAACCCTGCACTAGCCCCAGAGCATCTCCAAGGCTGGACCACTCTCACCCATCTTGTGTCCTCAGCACCCAGCAGAGAATCCAGGCTGTCAGAGTAGGTGCAACCTAGACTATCACGGATGGTACAGAGAAATAGCAAATACCACGACGATCCAGAGAAAAAGGGAATGTGACCAGTGGCATCTGGCTCGGAAAACTGTGTCACAGAAACCACACATCAGTCTCATTTTCTTGGCCCAAACAAGTCACATGGCTGTACTTAACTTCCCAGGGGCAGGGAGGCACTGCACGATTATGTGCCGAAAGGAGAACTGGGAACTTGGAGTGCACTGGACCAGTGACTACTATAGTAAATAAGCCTTGCAACAGCTTGTGGGATAACGTCATAAATTATAAGGATTAATAATGTGCATATAAAGTGCTTAGAAATGCTACACAAATAACATTTCCAAGTTATCAGGAAAGTATAATGTTATGGATGTTCAGAGAAGGGAAATATTAAATGCAACATGAGAGATTGGGGGAGACTTCACGGACACAGTGGCAATTGCAAAATAATTAGAATCTGGGCATATGGAAGATCCAGAGCAGGCATTCCAG